AATTAAATGATATTATCTTTATGTAATACGATAATATCATTAATTAAGATATTATCCTAATAAAGAGAAGATAATGTCATTATCTCAGATATTATCTCCATAAAAAGAGATAATATCATTAAATCAGATATTATCTCAGTCCGACTCGATCCCTACGATTTTGGGTAGAGAATAAACTCAGCATATTCTCTACGAAACCCTAGTCCCGAGGCTCCTATAAATAGATGACTTCATTCATCATTCAAGGTACATCTAAACCTACTCCTTATACCCGAGAAAAATACCCGAAGCTCTTTCTCTCTCTCCACTCTCCATATTTTCTCCACACGGCTCCGGCCACCACACACGGCTCCGACCGCCCGGTTCACACCCTACATAAATACTACTCCGTACCCTTTGCTAGCTATTCTTTTTCTACAAACACTCGAACTAACTTAGGCATCGGAGGGCCTTTGGCCAACACCCCCCGGGTGTGGTCTATTTACTCCAATCTGTTTTACAGGAATCGAGGAAGAGAGAGAAGGAAGATCGAAGGTTGAAGGATCTAGAAGCGAATATTCTCCCGTGAGATTATTTGCACAAACAACAAGATATACATACAACGACGAGAACTAAAACTCACCGCCGTTAAATATACCTTTCACGACACATAAAACAATGACGTCTTTAAATACATAATCGACGACGTTATTGATTCCTACTACGGCACTACATTTTCAACAACCGTCGTGAAATAAATTTTCCACTTCGATTTTCTATTAATGATGACGTAGAAATAGATGTTAGGGTCATTATTTACGACGCATGTATTTATACAGATGACGTTGTACTCAATAAACAACATTGGGTCCAAATAAATGAGAGCCGTATTACAGAATTTATACGTCATCTTTTAAAATATAATCGTCGTCTAATGCATCGAGACGGCAACGTTTCTCAGTCGATCGATGTGTAAAATTGTTTTAATGACACTATCTGAAAATAAACGACGTGGAAAATATGTTGGGGTCATTACTTACGACACATTCATTTATACAGACGACGATGTCATCAATATACAACGTCGTTATCATGCAAAAGACCGCCGTGTTTAAGAATTTATACGTCATCATTAACAAAATTACCGTCGTCTAATTCCTATTAGACGACGTTGTTTATCCAAAATTCACCGTGTAAAGTAATTTTAACGACATGATCATAAGAAAAGAGACGTGGATACATTCATATAACGTTGTTTTTGTAAAGGAACGACGTCCAAATATATCTTAACGTCGACAAATTTACCAATTGATTTCAAATACCGTCGTGAATTAATCCTTTTCCACTTCGTTTATGAAAGAACATGCGACGTGGTAAAATTAAGACGACGTCGTCTTTTGTAACGTTCAGGTTAGATATCTCGTCTTTTAGACGTCGGTATTATGGGATTGGAGTCGTGTTATTTGGAATTACATGATGGCTCTTTATGCTTCTCCGACGTGATATCCTTAATAACTGTTTCACAATAGCGTCGTGGTTCTTCATTGTTACGTTGCTTTAAGACGTCGGTAAATATATTGCTATCGTTGAATGCTCCAAAACGTCGTTTTTTATTAGAACAAACGTTTTATTTTCACATTTTTATCAAGATCGTCGTGTTTGTAATCTTGAACCAATATTTTTTGTACTGATTGTTTTGTAGCCAAAACCTGTATAATGAAAGTGAAGAAACCACATTACAATATATTACAAAATTAATGTCATACACTGCCAATTACATAAGCATTATTCAATTCATATATCTTCACACCCATCTCAAATATTTTGACTCCCAAACTCACCCACCAGTTCATCAAATGTGTCAACATTTGGCATCCCTCTAGTAAATGGCTCACACTCAATTCTCACATCACCTAAGACATCATCACCAATAACATCATTATATTCTCTATTAGGCATTGATAACACTACCGACCAACCCGGGTCGTCAACAAAAAATCTTGTTTGACTTGAGAAGCCAAAACAAATTGGTCATTCCTATGTCCAATTTTACTCAAATCTACAAGGGTAAATCCAAGTTCGTCCACTACAAGACCAGAAGTATTATCAATCCAATCACACCTAAAGACTGGGATTGTAAACTTTTGGTAGTCAAGGTCCCAAATTTCTTGAATGACACCATAGAAACCCATATTTGAGAGAATTGGGTTTTTATCCTTGGCACTAGCAACTTGCATAGTATGTGCAAGTAAATAAACTCCACTATTTTGAGTTGTCCGCACATCATCTTGTGCCTTGATGTTAAATTTAATATCTTTAATAAGATAGCTCCTATATGATGGCACTGCCATGTTTGGACCAGCTACTAGCCACCTTAAGTTTTCTGATATGCCATGATTGTCTTCCTCATTAAGTTCACTTTGAAAATTAATCATATCTTAATTCAATCTAACATAGAAAGAAGAAAATTAAAAGTCCAATATGTTATTCAATAACATA